ACAGCGTACAGTTTATGGAACTTCCAGAAAGAACTTTGAATCTCAAAGCTTTAAAAGGTTATCAAAGCATCCTTTATAATAAGTAAAACACAATGTGGGCTATAAAATGAAGCATTTGCAATATTTTTTTCACCTTTTAAAGCTCCAACATAGTCGGGAGTTTGATCTTAAAATGTTTTAACTCTGCATGTGCTGTCAGTTTAGCCATAATTAGCATGAAACCCAGTGACATAATTTATAGTTTTGCAGTAAGAGAGAAGGGTGGAACTGGAAAATCGCAGGGAATCTTTGGAAATGAGTGAATGCTAAGAAAGACTGAAAACAATGGAAACAATGATGATGCCTGCAGTTTTTTTTTCTGGGAACAGGGTCGTGATATGCTATAATTCACTGGCATTACCATAGAAACATGAGCATGTTAAAGTAATTGGTTTCGACAATAAATACAAAGTGTGAGCACACAATGTCTCATCAATTCTGAATAGGGCAAAAGACGCTGAACTGCCTTCTCAGCAGTTGAGCCTGCATTTCAGACTTCTCCAAAGGTTGTGGGCTCTGTTTAGCAGAACTTTGGCAAAGACACAAACTCATCCTAATAATTGTGAAGGTTTCTTCCAACATATTAACTGTCAGCTGAAAGTGTTCTTGCAGCATTACAAGCATAGACACTTAAATCTGATACTTCTCTTACTTTAACAGGCATGTTTTGGCTTAGTGTGTAAAATCTTGCATTAACGTTCTAAAATTCTGTTAAACATTCTTTAGGTTAGACACCACATGATGATGTAACATTGTAAGTGTTTTTTTTTCTTCTGATCTACTGATACTGATACTATCTGGCGTAGTCGACTGATTAAGGGGTGAAGTCAGCTAAAGTCATCTGGCCACTGCTTCTTTAAAGAAAAGTGGTGAGCTGCTCATGCTATTAAACTAAAAAAAAGGGGGGGGGGGCTTTGGGGAAGCTTACATCACCATTGTCATTACCACCATGACCACTGCACTGACCAGCAATATCATCTGCCTCACCGCTGTCATCATTATCAGCTCCCAAAGCTCAGTGCAGTAGCATAATAAACTCTGAGATTTAAAGCCCTGCTGGAAAGATGACATCATCTTTAACCTCCCAATAATTCTTCAGCGAAGAACTGACAGAACTGAAGAGCTAGCTGTGTAAATGATGTGGTGTGTTGGCATCTTTGCAGGAATTGTCAGCTGCTTTGCTGTCTACATCTCAAAGAAAAGGCCCTGTGGGAAAGTTGACATCATTCACATGCTGCAGAACAATAACTGGCATCTCTAATCCTCTGACATAAAATTGACATATGTCTAGAATTGGAGGGGGAAAAAATATGTGAGCAGTGGAAATCGTTGGCCCTTCTGCCGGAATCATCAGCTGTTTGGCGTTCTGGAAATGAGCGCGGGGTTTTTTATTTTAGCAGACTTGTCAGAGACACAGCCCGTGAACTGCAACTGCGAGGGTTCAGCGGTTCTTCATGAAATGCTGTCACACATCTCTGTGCAGTGTTCCAAGGGTATCTACTCTGTAATGTCCAAGATCGCTTAATAACCCTCAAGAATATGTCTTCAGTCTAACCCCAGGCTAAATGACATAATTCCTAGACAGTGAAAGCTCAGCTGTAAACTTCAAACTGGTATGAAAGGAAATAAATATGAGGTCAAAAGCATCTGAAAATTTACAACCATAGCGGCAAGCCCAAGGTTAGAAACTTGAAAACTTGTCAGCAGGCGTTCATCAAAGATGCAGTAAGGGCTTGAGGGACATACAAGCTCTCTATTGCAAAGTTTTGTGTTTTCACAGAAAACTGACAGAAAGGCAATGTAGTAATCTTGCTGAAAGGTATAGTTATATGCAACATTTCAATTCAGTTGAGTAAAATTCAATTTCATTTATATAATGCCAATCACAACAACTGCCAAAGTGAATACTGTTTATCTTGTTTATGTTTACTGATCAAATATGACATAGAAATGTAGATAAAATGTGTTTTAGATAAAAAGTTTTCATATAAAGCTGTTAAAATGCATAAATACAAAGTAAAGAACCATTTTTTTTACACTGTAATCTAATAGCTAATTAATCTAATTTGCTCTTTTCTACCCTTTTCTTCATGGGGGTGGGGGGTCCACTGGATGCTGCCTTTGGGAAAAAGCACTCAGTTTACTAAACTGGCTGAGAAAGCATGCCCACTCTACACCAAGATTTTATATATATTTATATAATGGCGGTCTAACCTGGTACCTTTACTGTTAGTGTTTGGAATAATTTAAAAGCAACAATAGTAATTACAAGGAACTGCTGATGAAGTCAAAGTTCATTTATTTGGTATTTATTCTGTATATGAGCAGTTATGATGTTAAAGGTTAGCACCTAGAGCTGGGCGATATGAGATTTTTTCATATCACGATATGTTTTTTTCATTTCAGGCGATAACGATATCTATCACGATATAAGCCAAATAACTATATTTGTAAGATTTAAATGTGCCGTTGCTCACAAGTAAAATGTGAAATAATCAGCAGCTTGTTTTTATTTAAATATTTATTTCCCATAATAAGTTCAACAGGGTAGATGTACTTAAGGAACATGAGACTTTTTCAGATAAATAGAGGCAAATATTGCAAACTACACAAAAGGCAGCCGCTAAAGCGTTTAAGTTTCAAAATAGAACAAACGAAACAGACTAAATTGTCAATTCCACTTAGAAACAAAATATTAATTCTAAAAATAAATCTTAGTTTGTTTTACAGAAGAACAGACAAAACTGACTAACTTTTGTCAATATCAAATAAACTGAGAACTAAAAGGAAATTCTCAATCTCTCCTTGTTGTATAGCTGAGCTTTTCAAACAGTTTTAACAGTTACTTTAGTCTGACAAAAGCCGAATGACGAATTAGCGCTTCCAGTCAGAGACTGAGGCTACGTCCACACGTACACGGGTATTTTTGAAAACGGAGATTTTCCGTTTTCGTTTTAAAAAATAATCCCGTCCACACATAAAGGCAGAAATGGAGGAAAACGCTGCTATGAACATGCCAAAGCAGCAGGTGGCGCTAGATTCCTAACCGCGCAGAAATGTTGGCCAATCAGAAGTCTAGAAGCCTCGGTGGGAAAAAGTAAACAAAGCTGGGGCATAGAAGCAGAACAGAGTCGTATGTGTGGACGGACAGTAACTGTGTGTATATGTAAGCATTTAAACACTGCAGAGTAGAATTAACAGTATTATAGAAATTCATTTCACCGAAACAATAACGTGGCGCACAGTGTGACGCATGCACCAGTTTATTGTATTTCCAGACTTGCTTTCGGCACAATTTACAGTGCACGCTACTCTGTTTTTTGTCAGACTTGAAATAGCCGAAATACCTTCACACTACGGAACTTCTATGGCTCTTCCGTTCGACAATCTCTCCGGCATTGGAACCATCATCTGTTTTCTCTTCGGTTGATTTTTCTAGTTGGCACACTGATTTCCTCCATTACGTGCTGGCTGCTTCCCAAACAAACACACGTGCGGCTTGGCACTTGTGCTGTACGTAACAAGTCATGCGACGTGACGCTGCGGCTGTGATTGGTTCGGCTCTGCGCTACTTAATTTGGATTGGCTGACCTTTTTTTTTTTTTTTTTTTTTTTTTTAAGAGGACAAGAGCGGCGAGGTCTATCGCGATAGCTTAATTTCTCTATCGAGTAAAAGTTATATCGCGATACATATCGTTATCGTTCTATCGCCCAGCTCTATTAGCACCCCATAGCATACAAAATCAAATCAAGACAAAATGTGGCATTTACATCCTCTGACTTGCTATAGTACGTCCCTCTGTCCTATTTAGGGATTCATGGGGTTCTACATGAATATTTGAATTCATTTGCATGAACAAACAAGCTGTGTTGCTCATGATGCAGTGTTGTTTAGCTGGCTTGTCTGGGGTTCTCACCTGCTCAGGAAGAAGGATGAGTAACACCTTTAATTGTTGAGGTCACTGAATATTGCAAAGTCCATAAAAGGGTCTAACAAAGCTGAATCACTTAATGAATCAGTAACTGGAGAACCAGAGTGGAGAACCAGTGCCGTTAGAGTTTCGCGGGCACATACAAGAAGGATACATCACATGCTGAGCCTTTCTAACTCCTCAAAGAAGTGATGGCATCACTGAATGAATAATGAAAAGCTGACGTCTCAAGTGTCCTGTATACTTTGCATTCTCTTCAGATCTTTCCTCAGGCACAATGTAACTTAGTGTCTGACTCAAGTGAGTCACGCTAACATCTGTAGAGAAAATATGGTGTGCTGTTTTTAAGTCAGTAAGTGAGTGACTCTGCCTGATGAGTCATTGGGTTTATACTGGACAAACTCAGTGGCTCATTCGCAAATATTTAATCAGAATCCGTAGCATCATTTTACAATAGGAACAACTCTATAATTAGTCAGTGAGTTGCTTTATAATAAGGAAAAAAGTACAAGAATTCAGGTTGCATGCAAAAGCTCAGGCTTTTACACCAGGATATCAAAGTACACATGACTAAGCTGCTGATAGTGCTACTTTTAACAGGCATGGATTAAACACGCTGGCTGCTTATGCCCATGTTCAGGATGCCACAGTGTTTGAATTGGATGTCAGTACGATTTCAGCATGTGACCGAATGATGAGTGTGAGTCCTCCGTGTGACTGGAAGGATCTTCAAGTCGTCACCTAATTATTGTTGAAATCCCCTACAACACATGTACGCAGACAGACACACAGTTGGACATGTCTTCTTTCCTATGGAGTATTAACTCTTCCTTGTTTATCCAGTTGCTATGAAAACACAATCAGCCACAAGTCAACACTGAAATACTCCAAACAAGCTTGATTATTTCTCTAATTAAGCTTTAATAAGCCCTTATTAAACGGCCACAGGCCTCGTTAGGCGGTTCATTAAGCCATTTCATCCTTTTATTCCTTCATTAAGTCCCTTTTTCTTCTTTCTTTTCTTCTCAGGGAGTGTGGGAGTGGTGAGGTCTGGGAGATCACGACCTTAATTCTCTCCAAGACAGACGGTTTAATTAACACTGGAAGAATCCTCACTGACTCCAGACCTCTACAGTGAGAATGTACAGGGGAATTGGCTTGCCAAGGTAAGTCACTATGCTAATGTGCTTTTTACTGGCAATATACACTAATAACCTCTTAGGTTAGAACAACTCTGTCTCCTGTATTTGTGATGTAATTAGATGATAATATTGTGTGCATTAAAATATGCAAAAAATATCAATTCACATCTAATTTGGCAGTGTTTTGGAGAGATGATTATCATGAGCATGAGTGAATTAAATATGAAATACATTTTTTTTGAAACCTCAATCTTAGAAATGGAGGGGTAAGCAATTTTTAAAGTGGTGCAAGCTACAGAACAGCAAGATGTAAATATTCAACCAACTGACAGCATGCTAAAAGTGGATAATTTTTTTGGTTCCCCTTCACCGGGTAGCACGTTATGTGCAGTCAACACTGACATTTTGGTTGCAACAGCTGTCGCAAAGTGCAAAATGTTAAGATCCCACCACTTGTGTGTGGGTTGTTTACAGTTAGAAGCAGGAAATCTATTCGTGTTATCAAGACAAGTTCGACTGCGAAAGCAACTAGAACGGAACATTTGCCACAGATAGAGAGAAGTCTGAAGTGGCTAACCATCAAAACTTCCTAAATGTTGATCACCTTTTTAAATTTTCTCACATTGGTTTGCACTTTGACATTATGCACCAATACTGAGTTAACAGTATCCTGTTTGAACAGTGTATCAGTTTCAGGATGGCATCTAGTTAAAAATATCTTTTTACAAGGATTTGATGCTCACAGTGATGCTTGTGATAGTTGTTTTTTGTACTGACTAAAGGTAATAAACTGATACCAGCTGGACACCCAAACATTATGCTCAAAACGAGTTTTCGGCATTACAGTTTTGGAACTAAAAAGAGTCCCTTTTGAAAAGTGAAATACTAAATATTCACCCTGAAGCTCAAAAGTTGCAGATAAGGGTTAATAGCACCTGTTTTTAATGTCTGCTGTGTTGGGGGATTCCCCTCTCTGTGTGGAATAGTGAATCTCCCACACACAGAGCTTCTATTTCACATGATAACAAACAGCACCTGACAGTGTGTTTGCCTTTAGCAGTAAAGAAATTTATACCCCTGGGAATCTTAAAGAACAGGTGTTCCTCAGTTCATCCACCATAACGCTGTTTATAATTGCATTAAGAATCAGTACACTCAGAAAAATAAATGGACCTATTGTACTTGCAGGGCAATGTTTTTCCTGCGGTCTCTCCAGGTGAGGCTTGACGTTGAATGACTAAGACTTCTGATCCAGATTTAACTGACATTCAGCCTGGTTCCCATTAAAACAAACATAACAAAACTATGTTGTTAAAATGTTTATGATTGCATAAGACTGTGATTTTCTCCAGCCAGCTAGGACGTTTGAGTGCTAACGTTGTACCTTTGCATATTAGTACATAGCATAGCATTTTTCTACTTAAGCTTTGACAAGTCGGTCAGTATATCTCACATCTGCACCTATGCTCAGCTAACATGCATGCCTCCAGATGGTGAGAGGAAAGGAGAGCACCCAGTTAGAAAAGCACCAGGCACGGGAAGAACAAAGGCCCCAAGAAGGCTGACACCCAGAGCTCACTTGCAGAAAAGAGAAAAAAAACAAACCAAAACCCCCCCCAGAATTATGCAACTACATGTTTACTGTTTGGAAACAGCTTTTTGGTCCTTGAACGGATACCTTTAGTCAGTGTCAGAAATTAGTAACTCTAACAGTAAGTACCAAACAAGTAGGGCATGGAAGCAGTACATCTAATGTAGACGTGTGTGTATTTTTGTGGGGATAGAGAAAGAGAGTGGTAGAAAATTAAATATTGTGGGAAAAGTTAATGTCTGTATGTGTACGCACACAAAAATGCATTTTTTAAAATCCTGCTGAGGTAACAGATGTTCACTGTAGCGATAAGCAGCGAATGTCCAAACTAATCACTGGTTTGTGTGTGTGTGTCTGTGTGAAGGGGAATATGTGTCCCTGTGTCAGTCAGAAAAGCTGTCCTTCACCTGTCTGTGCTGTTTTTGGTACACTGTATGCATGTGTGTGTGTAGGCTGACATGCTCTAGTGCACATAGATAAATATTACACCTTCAGTGATGAAGTGACTGAGCTTCCTGACACTTCTCCAGATGTCCAAACCCCAGGATTCACCGTCTGCCTCCTTCATTTTTTGTCTTTCTTCCTGTCCTGGTTGTTTTGGATTTCTTTGAGTACCAACACAGCATCCCTGTTGTACAATTTATTTTATCACAATGCTTCTGTAGATCACTCGCTTCAGTTACCCTTGCTAACACATATAGCATTAAACACGTACTCAACATACACATGCACATTCGTATTTACTGCGGTGAATATGAATATGCCCCCTCCCCGCATGGAAGTGCTGGTTTTGACGTTATGCAAAGTCACAGCTCCTACATAGGAAGACAAAACGAGAAACACACACACCCCATATGTCAAGTGATAAGTTACAACATTAGTGCCAAAAATTCCATTGAAAAGCAGAAGCTCTGACTGTTTTTACCTTTTTTGTAGAGAGAAATGAAACTTGTGTAACTACAGTATCCACAGTTGAGAGATTATATTGACTTACACATTAAGTATGATGAAAAAACGTAGAAATATCTGCCATTATTGTGTATTTAATCAGAGATGCCTTTGCAGACGGCTTTTTGATGTGCTAAATAATGCTCGGAGCGAGTAATCCTAACTTAAGTGGGTACTTGGTTTTATTCAAGTCCAAATCTGAAAATAGGGGGATAAGCTTTGGACAAATGCTGAATCCACAAGATTACGGTGTGCAGCTTAGCCTGCTGAGCAAGCCAGTCACTGGCTGAGTGTCTTAATTGTCTGTAATTGTAGCTGTAGTCTAGTCAGTGAAACAATCAAAGCAAGCTATTACAAGACCTCGGTCACCAGCCCTTAGGGTGGGACCTTAGATCTCCAGATACGTGCATGCACATAGAAATATACAATTGCGTATACATGCACGCATCCATGCACGCACGCACACAGAAACAGACACATACACATACACATACACATACAAGCAGTCACCCACACATTTCCTGTGTGTTTCATGTAAGACAGTCTTTTTCTTCCTTCTCTTCTGTTTGGAGAGGAAGTGCAGGTCTAATGACTTTTCCAATGCGTCACAAGCAGTGCATGTGGGAGGCAAGCAGCCGCACTGCACGTGTGTGCATGTGAGAATCTTTATGCATATATGTATGAGTCTGTGAAGGGCTTGACACATGCGAGATTTGTTATTCATTTGTTAAAGGCTTTATGTGTATTTCGCCTGTCTGTTTCAGAGAAACTTCACAAAAAGTTTGTGAGCGCTTTTGAAATAAAGTTATTCATGTGCTTGTGTTCACAGGAAGTGTGCACACCTAACTGAGTATTTTTGGTCAGCCTCTGAAAAATAAGCATCTCATAGGGATTCCGATTCACTCCTTGCATCGATGTGGCCATGTGCACCACTGAATACTGCATGTGTACACAGTTTGTTTTTGAAAGTGCATCTTGTTTCTCGTAAACAGAGCTACCACTGAGAACATACACAACTGTAAAACCTAGTCTGTCTGCACTACTCATACTCTACATATCAATCCTAATCAATATTTTATTTTATGGGAGAATGTGTAGCAAGCTGAACTTTCAGTAATAATATTTTCTGTTAATGTATAATGTATTTATGATGGTTGCTGCCAATATTTCTCCTCATTTTCAGTGTCCCACTGCATCATTGTGGGGCTCTGGAGGGTTCCACTCATAAATCACCAGCAACTGGTGAAAGTCAGGCTTTTCACCATGAAATGTAACAGTTTTTAAAAAATTGGAGTCTTTTTAAGGAAACAGTTGAAGCAAAGACAAACCGTTACAATGGCTGCAGATTTCATGTGTCCATTGGTATTGGCACTTTTTAGTTTTGTTCCATTGGTGCATTCTTGAATTAGAAGTTTTTATGGGATGCCCTCTCAACCTCGATTTCCTACTCAGAAAGTCCAATCTCTATCCATGAATGTACTGCAACAGCAAAAAGCATAATGATTGTGATCCCTGAATGGCTCTACTTTGCGAGGAACCAAACAAATCTGACATTTGTGTTTCCAGGTATCTGGACTGCAACATATGTTACAGCTAAGTTAGCTGTAAATGCAGGCAACAAGAATCAGAGGAACTGGTTAAGATGCCGTTGCACAAAAAGGTGACTAAATGACTAAATGAACTGAGCAAAGAAAAGTGGCCATGGAGAAGCTCAGTTAGTAGTAGGAAGCGCTGGAGCTAAAGCAGGGTGCCAGAAACCTGACTGAGTTTACTTTGAAACTGCAGACACATGGATAGAAGTTAACTAGAGAAAGAATACGTTTAGAATAGCACATTATATACAAGTTACTGAACGTGTGACTGATTATATAAGCAGAGTATCTACTAGGTGGTAGACATGTTGGAGGTTGTAATGTAAGGCATGATCCTTAGCTCTGACCTCGAGCATAGATTTCTAGCAACACAACTACATCGCCACAAGCAGGAACCATTCTTCTTGGGTTGCCAGTGTGAAAAACCATTAGCTAATCCCCACAATGCCTTGTTCCCCAAGCTCCAGCTGCAGTGAGCTTGCACAGTTCAGCTGAGGCCACAGAGAAGTGTTTTGCTCAAAACAAGTACCCATTCAAAGACCAGGGTTGGTTCTTAGCAACTTCAGCAAGTGACTATTGAAACATTATTTTAGGTGAAATGAAAAACAGAATCAAAAACAGTGTTTTGATTGGATTCAAGGCCTTTACTGAACCCTTCCACCACATTCATCACTCCTATTCTTTACCTTTGCTCCCTAGTGCCAACTCCATCATTTTCTTCACTGTCTTATGCTTATGAACACCCACTCACATTTTCCTTCTTTTTTCTCCTCCTTTCATGTTTTTCCTTCAGTTTATTCCTCTTTCTACTTGTCCTTCCATTCTCCTCTGTCCTCCATCGTTTCATGCCCAACACCCAACCTCTTTCAGCAGCTGTTCGTCTCCACTCCATT